AACAGAGTAAGACTCTGTCTCAAAATAAATAAATAAATAAATAAATAAATAAATAAATAAATAAGTCTAACAATTTATTATATTTATTAGTCAAAAATAAATATTTGATAACTACAGCTTCTGAGTATATTAAACAAGTTGTATTCATTCATTCCTGTGGATACAAGGGTAAAAAGTTCCAAGTTCCTGACCTTCAGCTAGCAGTCTAGTGAGGGAGAAGACAAAAAAATGATTATGTTGAAGTGTGGCAAGCTCTGTAGCAGAGGATGGCACCAGAGAGGAGGGTGTTAACTGTCACGGATAGGGCAAGTCTTCATTAAGAAAGTACTGCCTAAGCTGAGTATTGAAAAATGAGAAACTTGCTAGGTTAGGAGCAACATGAAAATTTAGGAAGATGTGAGAGAGCATATTTCATACCTCATAAAACAAAGATGAGGTGTGATTTGAGGAATGTGACAGGAATGAGGTTGCAGAGGAGGGCAAAGGCTTAATTATGAAGAACTCTGAATGCCTAAATTATAAATGTTTTGAGGAGGTATGATCAAATCTGCATTTGAGAAAGATCACCCAGTGGCTGTGTGTTTAGACCAAAGGGCCAAGACTATAGGTAGTCCACAGACCAGGGGAAAATGTCCAGGCTGGAAGAGATGATAGCCTGAACTGAGGCCATGGTAGGAGGAATAAAGATTGAAATAATTACTGCCAGAAAGCAAAGGAATGATATCTTTAAATGTTATTTGCATAAGCAAACATGCTGCTTATCAACTTAAATGATATAAGTATGAAAGTATAGTCAACAATATGAAAACTCTGTGCAGCATCTCAACATTCTCCTTTCTATCCCCCTGAGCGTTTTGCTCTTCTTTGGAGTCAGAGGAGTTGAACAACCTGGAGAAGCCATTCTAGGCATTCAAAGCACAGGTGATGATTATTAACACAACAAGATATGCCAGAATACATTCAACTTAAGATTTGTATTCAACTTGGATAGAATAAGACTGAACATATCCATTATTTATTTCTGTTTGTGGTTAACTGCCCCTGTAGGTTCATGGTCTGGCATGTCTTCCATATGAATATAACTAAGCCCTCCAATACTTAGAAAGAGGGACTTAGTACCTTGATGAGTAAAAATAGGTTACAAAACTCCAACATCCATTGAACAAACTTTCATTGACTTCTACATGTGTACAATATGCTTTGAAGTAAAGAAAAATATCAGGGCTGGGCATAGTGGTTCATGCCTGTAATCCCAGCACTTTGGGAGGCCAAGGCAGGCAGATCACAAGGTCAGGAGTTCGAGACCAGCCTGGCCAACATGGTGAAACCCCGTCTCTACTAAAAATACAAAAATTAGCCAGGGGTGGTGGTGGGCACCTGTAGTCCCAGTTACTGAGGAGGCTGAGGCAGGAAAATCTCTTGAACTGGGAGGCAGAGGTTGTAGTAAGCTGGGATCGCGCCACTGCACTCCAGCCTGGGTGACAGAGAAAGACTCCTTCTCGAAAAAAAAAAAAAATCAGACTGGTGTTCAGTATAGTATTAGCAGTATGTATCTTGGGTAATTTTTCTGATAGTTCTTTACTTCTTTACTGAATTATTTTAATTATTAATTATTAACAATAAGCACTACTATTTTAAATAAAAGCTATTTTAATTTTTTCTTTTTTTTTTTTTTTTGAGACAGGGTCTCACTCTGTCACCCAGGTTGGAGGGCAGTGGTGCAATTTCGGCTCACTACAACCTCTGCCTCCTGGGTTGGAGCAATACTCCTGCCTAAGCCTCCCGAGTTGGAGCAATACTCCTGCCTCAGCCTCCCGATTAGCTGAGATTACAGGTGCCCACCACCACAGCTAATTAGCCCAGCTAATTTTTTTGTATTTTTAAAGTAGAGACGAGGTTTCACCATGTAGGCCGGGATGGTCTCAAACTTCTGACCTCAAGCAATCCACCCACCTCAGCCTCCCAAAGTGCTGGAATTACAGGCATGAGCCACCGTGCCCAGCCTAATTTTTTTTTAAATTGGAGTTCCCCATACTAAGCAAATTTAAAACTGAATAGTTTTACACTTAAAAAAAAAAATCTTCTCTAGTCTGTTTGTAACTGACTTAGAGAAGGATGACAAGATATTTCACCCTTATCATAGATTAATTCAATACATAATTATATTCTCTGATTATACAGTCCTTTAAAAATAAACAAAGATGTTTCAACATTAAGTACAATTCTGACATTAACCATTCCTCAGGGTTTCTATTTTATTGTCAACACTACCAGAGCTTGTGAATGGGAGCAGTTTGAAAGCTGCTCTTTGGAAGTTAGCTTGCTGGATAATGCTTCCTTTTAAAGACTGAATAGATGAAGTTGTTTGTTGGAAGTGAACAGCACACAACACTTCAATTCACTTCTTAAGATCCTATGTTTACAAAGAATAATTTTTGTTTGGCTTAAAAAAAAATAGGTAAAACAGCAGCTTGAATTGCATGGCATTTTTCTTGGGCAAATATTTCTGTCATTTCAATATGGTTAAACTCTATTTAGGCAGTGTGGAGGTGGCAACTATAATTTGTCTTCTAGGAACACTCTGTCCTTCCTAGTCACTACTGCTTAACTGTGCTGTCAGGCTATCAGATTTTACACTGAGATTATAAGAACATTTTTCAAACTCTAATGAAAATCTGTCCATAAAAATTGTGGTGTTTTATTTATTTCTGGATGCCAACTATCAGGACAATCTTTTTCATTTTTCTGAAAGAAGCACAAGTAGCAATAGAGTTTTTTTTTTTTTTTAATTTGCCATCACTGTGCATAAAAGTTATCTGTATGCTAAAGGAAACCAATAATTAGTTATATTAACATAAGAAGTACACTAAACTTAAGGAAATTCGGGGCAGGGAGGGTTAAAAAGCTTTTTCATCTTCTTACTTTTGTAGTTCTCCATGCTGCTTTCATAAAAATTGTAATGCTTGGTTAAGAATCTGAAATGCACTGTCAGTTCCCACTATAAAAGTGATAATCAAATAAGATGCTTAGCAAAGCTTTGTCTTTTTTAACATTACTTTGAAAGTTACTGGCCGGGCGCGGTGGCTCAAGCCTGTAATCCTAGCACTTTGGGAGGCCGAGACGGGCGGATCACGAGGTCAGGAGATCAAGACCATCCTGGCTAACACGGTGAAACCCCGTCTCTACTAAAAATACAAAAAATTAGCCGGGCGAGGTGGCGGGCGCCTGTAGTCCCAGCTACACGGGAGGCTGAGGCAGGAGAATGGCGTAAACCCGGGAGGCGGAGCTTGCAGTGAGCTGAGATCCGGCCACTGCACTCCAGCCCGGGCGACAGAGCGAGACTCCGTCTCAACAAAAAAAAAAAAAAAAAAAAAAAAAAAGAAAGTTACTAATAAGGGATTCAATAGATGAAGATATCCATGCTCTGGCTAATTGTTATCCAAAGCAGCAGTACTATTAATTTGACACAGATCTGTAGTTACTATCAGTTTTAGTCTTAATTTTATTTTAGGGAAGTGAGGCATGCAATATAAAAATATACATATTCATCCCCAATTTATATTTCTGACAGTTATATTAGAACTTTCAACCTCAAATATCTTTATAAGACCCTTCAAAATCAGTAGCAACAAAATAGTTCAGTTTGCTACTCAAAAGTATGACTTATAAGCTCTAATAGTTGAGATTCCTTCTTCTTTGCTAGTCTCTGCTATTGCTATGCTCTGTTTTCTTTAAGACACATAGATTTAAAGGAATCATATAAGTATAGGTTCTACACTTTCATATTGTATTACTTTGGTGATGCTGACTATTAACTGGAACTCACAGAATCCTCATTTTAGGATTGCTGTGGTTTAAAGCTAATTTTAAAGCACAGCCTATCATGCAGTTAAGTCTTTGATTCTAAACACAAATTTTATTTTTTTACTGCCACAAAAAGCAGGGTGGTTTGAGAGCTTTCTCTGTTAAGAAAAAGTAGTAACTGAAATAATCGCACTATAATTTCAAATGTATGAACACATCCCCACATACTGGTGAAGGGCTACATTACATGTGATTTTTCACATTTATGCCTGTTTGAATGCCATTTGAATTTTGAATTCCTATAATCAGGTGATGGAAAACAAACATAAAGAAATCATACAGAGTTATAAAAGGAGAACATTTAAAAATATTTCTGGTATTATGATGCAAACAGTACTACTATTTCACACTGGGATACTGAGAAAGGAATTGAAGCCAGAATGTAAATTTGGAACCAGAATGGAGGTTGGGATAATTGTGAAGGTGAAAGTAGAGGAGTCCTATAGTAAATAACCTGGAATTACTATCCTTCATGTGTAGATTAAGTGGCATATTCTGTGACATACAATATTCTCAATAAAATTATTTTGCTTGCATCCATTAGAAAGAAGGGCCAAATTTTCCTCTCTGCTGTCTCATTTATGTGGCAGGAGTGAGTTATTTCTCCCATCTTATGCTTTTTTGGAACAGGCTCATACTTACCTAAGATAACAGAAAAATGACTTTTTTTTTTTTTTTTTTTTGAGACAGAATCTCTCTGTTGCCCAGGCTGGAGTGCAGTGGCATAATCTCAGCTCACTGCAACCTCCGCCTCCCAGCTTCAAGCAATTCTGCCTCAGCCTCCCAAGTAGCTGTGATTACAGGCACCCGTCACCATGCCAAGCTAATTTTTCTATTTTTAGTAGAGATGAGGTTTCACCGTGTTGGCCAGGCTGGTCTCAAACTCCTGACCTCAGATGATTCAACTGCTTTGGCCTCCCAAAGTGCTGGGATTACAGGTGTGAGCTGCTGCACCCAGCCACAAAAGGACTTTTTTATAATGTAATTCAGAAGAAAAAAAGAAATGGCTATGGACTGAATTGTGTTACACCCCTCAATCTGCCACCCCTGAATTCATATGTTAAAGTCTTAACCCCAGTACCTCAGAATGTGACTGTATTTGGAGTTAGGTTCTTTAACGAGGTAATAAGGTAAAATGAGGTCATATGGGTGGGACCTAATCCAATATGACTTTATAAGAAGAGACGTCTAGGACACAGGGACCACACAGACCAATGGAGGAAAACATGAACACACAGTGAGGAAGTGGCCATCTACAAGCCAAGGAGAGAGGCCACAGAAGAAACCAAACCTGCTGACATCTTGATGTTGGACTCCAGAACTGTAAGAAAATAACTTTCTGGTGTTCAAGCCATTCAATCTGCGGATTTTATTATGGCAGCCCCAGCAAGCTAATATAGAAACTCACTCTTAATTTCTCAAACCTAAGGTCAAAACAGAACACTTGCTTCTTCCTAGTCAAAACCTGTCCCCCTTTACTTCCCTCAACAGTCATCCTCAATTTTGTAAATGTCATTTCTGTTCACCTAGTTGCTCAAGTCAGAAAACTACCAGTGGCCCAACATTTCTCATGTGTTCTGATCCCCACATACCCCATGTCACAATCCTGTTAATCCTATCCCCGAAGTTTCTTATGAATCTTCATCTCCATCACTACTACAGTCCCTGCCATTATTATCTCCCACGTGGATTATTGCAAAAGCTTCCTCAGTAATCTGATTTTCTCCATCTTCTCTCTCCTCCAATCCAGCAATCCTTTCCAGTTCAGTAGCAGAAGAATTATTTCAGTCACTACCCGCTCTTCCGGCTTACAACTCTTGAGCAGTACTTGGAATAAAAGCAAACTTCTTAACGTGCCCTACTTGATCTAGCCTCTGACCATCTGATCCATCTTCTGCCTATCTCTGAACTTATCTAGTATCCCTGGTTTTTTTCCTACGCTAATTTTTGTTCAGTTCCTGGAAAATGTCCAGTTCTTTCCTGCATCAAGGGCTTCATTTTGCTCCCTCCACCTAGAATGTTTTAGGACTTGATCCTTCTCTTCCTTTATTTTCAGTTTTAATTGCAAAACTCCTCTACTGAGGCCTTCCTTACCCATTCTACTTGAAGGATTCACTCTGTTATTCTCCATGTCTACCCCTTATTTATATTCATTACAATTTGAAGTACTTTTACCTGCCCACCCACTTGTTTTTGTCTATCTTTCTAATAGAATTGGGAGGGAGGTGCTCAGTAAATACTTGTTTAATGAATCTGGTAAAAGATTTGATGCCTTATGTATGTATGTTTCAGGCTAATGCCATAATGCTAAGCCAAAGGCCCAGGAGAAGGGATGACCATGGAACCCTTAAGAAAAAGGATGGAAAGAAGGGAACTCTCTACACGGAGGTACTCACTGAGGAACTAAACAAGGCATGGTTGTGCTCGACTGAATGAAGGTTTGCTTTCCAAACCTTGGAAAGCAAGAGTGAGTAAAAATGACTAGAGGAGGCTTTTCCAGTTGCCCACTCAAAGTGGAATCTGTGATTTGGTTACAGTTAGTGAAAAACATTTTTAGACAATACCATCATGTATCTTCAAAGTTAACAATAAAAGGACTACACTTCCACACATCCTTATTAAAGCTTACTTCACTATATTATAATTTTTGTTTTTTGTGTCTCATTGACTAGAAAGTTCCTTGAAGACAAGATATTATTTTATCTCCCTTTGTGTTGCCCAGAACCTAACAGAGTTCCTTGTCCCATGTAAGTACTCCACAAACGTTTGCTGAGTCAAGTGGTCCTGTCTAAAATCCATGAAACCAGAAGTTTATTTGGGCTATGTCCACAGCCTCTAATATGCAGACAGAAGAAAGCAAGAAAGAACTATAAGATGTTCAAGAACAATGAAAAGGTGAATGGGAAAATAGACTTTAGGGCAGGAAGAACTGTGGTGTCAAGGAGAGGAAAATGAACATGCACTTAGCAGATGTCCAGAATCCCAGGCTAATGAGATTATCTGTAGGCAGAAGGTACATAGATAATGTTGGTCTTTATCTCTTCTGAAATAATGTTTTCAAAATAGATGTTACCACATAAATCACCAGTTTTTCTTTAGGGTAACTGAGAGGTAGGTGCAAGTCACATTAAGTTTATAGAAAATCAAGATAATAGAACAGTTATGACTTATTGATAACGGATTGCAGTGGGTTGAATAGAGCTCCCCCAAAATTCATGTCCATCTGAAACTTCAAAATGTGGCTTTATTTCAAAAATACAGTCATGCACTGCATAATGATATGTCAGTCAACAACAGACCACATATAGGATAGTGTAGTCCCATAAGATTATAATAGGGTATTTTTACTGTACCTTTTCTATGTTTAGATACACAAACACTTAGTGTATGATACAATTATGTTACAGTTGCCTGTGGCACTCAGTATAGTAATATGCTGTACAGGTTTGTAGCCAAAGAGCAATAGGCCATACCATATAACCTAGGTGTTTAGTAGGCTACACCATCTAGGTTTGTATAAGTCCACTCTATGTTGTTTACACAATGACAAAATTGCCTAACAATGCATTTTTTAGAAAATATCCCATCATTAAGGGACACATGACTGTAATATCTTTGCAGATGTCATCATTATGGTTCTAGAGATGTAAATAAGTTATAGATCTAGATTAGGTGGGCCCTAAATTCAATGACTGGTATTCTTTTTTTTTTTTTTTTTTTGAGACGGAGTCTCGCTGTGTCACCCAGGCTGGAGTGCAGTGGCCGGATTCAGCTCACTGCAAGCTCCGCCTCCCGGGTTTACGCCATTCTCCTGCCTCAGCCTCCCGAGGTAGCTGGGACTACAGGCGCCTGCCACCTCGCCCGGCTAAGTTTTGTATTTTAGTAGAGACGGGGTTTCACTGTGTTACCCAGGATGGTCTCGATCTCCTGACCTCGTGATCCGCCCGTCTCGGCCTCCCAAAGTGCTGGGATTACAGGCTTGAGCCACCGCGCCCGGCCTAATGACTGGTATTCTTAAAAGGGAAAGGAAAGAGGAAAGAAAGGAGAGATCACAGAGGCAGGGAAGGAGGCCATGTGAAGATAGAGGTTGAGATTGGAATTATACTGCCACAAGCCAAGGAATGACGGGAGCCACCAAAAGCTAGAAAAGGCAAGGAAGGATTCTTCCTAAAGCCTTTGGAGGGAATGTAGCACTCCTAACACCTTGATTTTAGAATTCTCACCTCCAAAACCATGAGAGAATAAACTGTTGTTTTAAGTCACCGAGTTTGTGGTACTTTGTTACAGCAGCTCTAGGAAATTAAACACAAGGATCAAAAGAAAACTGAGGGGTAATCTTTTAGTGGCACAAATGAACTCAAATTGGCATTCCCATGTATACAGTTCTAAAATGTCTGACACCTCTAAAAGCAATGCTTAGCAAAACAGAAACTTCAAATTCACTTAAAGGAGTCAAATAATTCAGTATATAACTCATAAGATCCTCTTAACACTCAATATTTAAAAAATTTCATAGAATTACAACCTTGACTTAAACTATACATAAATGTGAATACATACATTGCAAATAAAAGGAAAATTTGATTCATTTGAAGTTCTGTATTTACTTTTAGATTAAGAATATAATTATGCATATTTACACTTTCAACCTCTTCTGTTTTTGAAGCAAGTAAGATTTCTCTTATCCACAACTTTTTAAGCCATAAGGTAAATATTTATAGAAATCTGGAAAATAGAGAAAACAATTGCTTCAAATTTCAACACTCTAACACAATTTGTAGTATTTTGGTATGTTTCTTTTCCATCTTTTAAAAACATGGCTACAAGCAAGAAACATACAATTTTGTACTCCACTTTTAAAAGAACCTTATGATCGTATCATGTAAATTTTGCAGCAACACAGTTTGTCAAATTGTAATTTTACCAGCCACATATCAATACCTATTTTTCCATGTTGGAACTTAGGTTGCTTTTATTTTTTTTTTAGTTTTTTGTTTTAATATGGAATTTAGGCTGCTTTTAATTTTTTTTATTTTATATTTTTTGTTTTTTGAGATGGAGTTTCATTCTCGTCACCCAGGCTGGAGTGCAATGGTGTGAATTTGGCTCACTGTATCCTCTGCCTCCTGGGTTCAAGCGATTTTCCCGCCTCAGCCTCCAGAGTAGTTGGGATTACAGGTGCGCACCACCAAGCCCAGCTAATATTTGCATTTTTAGTAGAGATGGGGTTTCACCGTGTTGGCCAGGCTGGTCTCGAACTCCTGACCTCAGGTGACCTGCCTGCCTGGGCCTCTCAAAGTGCTAGGAATACATGCATGGGCCACTGCGCCTGGCTGGCTGCTTTTAATTTTTGCTATGGGAAATAACACTACAATAAAAATCTTGTTCATACTTTCATTCACCCACCCTCATGTTTTTATCTATCCTGCTAGAATTGGGAGGTGTAACATAGCAGGTGCTCAATAAACATTTGTTGAATTCATCTTGTATTTCTTTAGGACAGAATCCAGAAGTAATATCGTACAGGTAAATGGTTTAGGGCAATGTCTCACAATAAATATTGCCATTATTATGAACTATTATTAAATGAAATTTACTGGCTCTTGAAATATATTGCCAAATTTATTTATTAAAAGGTTGTGATAATTTACAATGCTGCCAGCACTATTAATTAATTAATTCAAGAAGTTTTTGTTTTGTTTTGTTTTGTTTTTGAGATAGGATCTCTTACTCTGTTGCCCAGGCTGGAGTGCAGTGGCACAATCTCCACTCACTGCAACCCCTGTCTCCTTGACTCAAGCAATCCTCCCACCTCAGCCCCCCGAGTAGCTGTGACCACAGGTTCACACCACACCATCCAGCTAATTTCTGTCTTTTTCATGGAGACGCGGTCTCATCATTGTTGCTGGGCTGGTCACGAACTCATGAGATCAAAGCAATCTGCCCACCTCGGCCTCCCAAAGGGCTGGGATTATAGGTCTGACCCACCGCACCCAGCCTCAGAAGTATATTTTTAGCACTTGCTGTGAGCCAGGAACTGTTCAAGATCCTGGGGGATAGAGCACGGAGCAAAATGGACAAAATCATTGCCTTTATGAGTTTTCATTCTAACGGAGGAGGTAAAGTTAAATATCTATTTAAGTAACATATAAACAGATTGTATATAATTGCTTGTCCATTTTCTCAGTTATATATATTTTTATATGATAAGCATAATACATATTTATAAATTATATAATTAAATGTCAGTTTGCTATAATGGATATGAAGGAAAAGCAAGCAGGATAAGATGATAGGGAGAGAGGGGATGGTTTTTTGGATAGGTTGATCAGAGAAGTCTGGAGAGGTGACATGAGTAGAAACCTGAATGAAAAAAATGAGGTGAGATCCAGCAGGAGCAGTATGGCTGGAAAGAAGGGAGAAAGAGAAAGAGTGGAAGAAGAATGAATACTACTTTTAGATGTCTCTCAACAGTCTGAGCATTATTTTTTTTTTTAACAAAAATAGGTAAAAAATACTTTACTCTTGTATGAATTAAAATTATTTTTTTTCTAGCCATATGGACTGCATTCCCTTACTAGTAATTCAGGAGAAATAATACTAGTAATAGTAAAAGCTAACATTTACAAATCTCTTGACACATACAAGGCACTGTATGTGTCATTTTACTGGCTTCACAATAACCCAGTGCAATATGGATTATGAACATAATTATAAAAATTATGGCTGAGATGTAATATTCTGTAAAACGGATCATTAGCAAATGCCTCTGTGTTTGAGGGGATAGAAGGACAGAGGTCTGAGGTAAGCTTATAGGTTTAGGCTCTGAATTCAGATAAACCAGCACCAGAGATCATACTCACCAATATCTCATGCTGCATTTATACAACAAATTTACATTATTCTAATAACCCTAGGATCCTATACTTGTTTCATCTTAAAGATAATCACATGCTACTTTCTAAAATCTTGCACCATAGTTTCACAGATTTATAAGGTTAAAAGGAACATGCAGAAATGTCCATTCCACTTTCTACAAGCAAGATCGATCTTTAAAAATGTTCCAGATAGATATACATCCAGGTGGAAGAGACAGCTGTCCACCAATTCATGCTCTCCCTTCCACAGCACGAAGTAGTACTTGGGAACGCAGGGACTATGTTTCCCAGCACCTTTGTTTCTAGGGGCGGAGTTCTGTTTTGTGTATAGTAGTGATATGTGGCATTTCCCAGACAAGGATTTTAAGAAGCTCACCCTCCCTCATCTTCTCAGGTCCCTGGAAATCAGTTTTCACTCATTAGGAACACTTATTTGGACTGCTAAAAAGGTTAAAAAATACAATTTTATTATATTAAGTCGCTCACATTTTAATTTTTATGTATTGTAGCATCAAATGTATATCTTAAAGATCTTGAATTCCATAACTTCCCTTTTAATGATATATTCTGAGGCAACAAGCCCTAAAGGGTAAAAGACCACAAACAAAAATCCTACAAGAGGCCTGGAGCAGTGGCTCACACCTGTAGTTCCAGCACTCTGGGAGGCCAAGGTGGGCAGATTACTAGAGCCCAGGAGTTGTAGATTAGCCTGGGCAACATGGCAAGACCCTATCTCTACAAAAAATACAAAAATTAGCCGAGCGTGGTGGCATGTGTCTGCAGTCCCAGCTACTCAGGAGGCTGAGGTAAGAGGATCCGTTGAGCCCGGGAGGTGTAGATTGCAGTGAGTAGAGATGAGCAAGACCCCACTTCAAAAAAAAAAAAAAAGGCCAACAAGAGCAATGAAACTCAAAATATGAGTATTTTTTGTGAACATTCCTACCATTTCTAATGTTGAAATTATGCTTTCCTTGCTTAAGCATCTTGTCATTCTACATTCATTTCTTTTCTTTTTTCTTTTGTTTTCTTTTTGAGACGGAGTTTTGCTCTGTCGCCCAGGCTGGAGTGCAGTGGCGCGATCTCGGCTCACTGCAAGCTCCGCCTCCCAGGTTCACGCCATTTTCCTGCCTCAGCCTCCCGAGTAGCTGGGACTACAGGCGCCCGCCACCAAGCCCGGCTAATTTTTTTGTATTTTTAGTACCGACGGGGTTTCACCGTGTTAGCCAGGATGGTCTCGATCTCCTGACCTCGTGATCTGCCCGCCTCGGCCTCCCAAAGTGCTAGGACTACAGGCGTGAGCCACCGCGCCCGGCCTCTACATTCATTTCTGTAACATACTGTTGTGGGTTAAATTTGATCCCTCAAAAGATAAGCTGAAGTCCTAACCTCCAGTACCTGTGAATGTGAACTTTTTTTTTTTGAGATGGAGTTTTGCTCTTGTTGCCCAGGCTGAAGTGCAATCGCGCGCTCTAGGCTCACTGCAAAACCTCCGTCTCCCAGGTTCAAGGGATTTTCCTGCCTCAGCCTCCTGAGGAGCTGGGATTACAGGAATGCGCCACCACGCCCGGCTAATTTTGTATTTTTTCGGTAGAGACAGGGTTTCTGCATGTTAATCAGGCTGGTCTCGAACTCCCAACCTCAGGTGATCCGCCCACCTCGGCCTCCCATAGTGCTGGGATTACAGGCGTGAGCCACTGCGCCCGGCCAAATGTGACCTTTAATTGGAAATGAGTTATTTGCAGATGTAATAACGTTAAGATGAGGTCATAATGGATCAGGCAGGGTAGGCTCTAATCCGATATCTGGTGTCCTTATAAAAGGGAAATTTGGACACAGACACACAGCGAAAACAAGGTGAAGAGGGATGCTTCCATAAGGATTGCCAAGGATTGTTGGCAACCATCAGAAGCTAGCGGAGAAGGCTGGAAAAGATTATCTCTCAGAGGCCCCAAGAGAGAACTAACCTTGTTTTCACCTTGATTTTGAAATTCTGGCCTTCAGAACTGTGAGACAATAAATTTCTGTTGTTTTAAGCCTCTCAATCTGTTTTAATTTATTATGGCAAGCCTAGGACACGAATACACACACTTAAACATATTCTAGAACAGACAATTCTTACCTAAAACATGTTTTTCAACAAGAGATAAAGAAACAGGCCAGGCGCGGTGGCTCACGCCTGTAATCCCAGCACTTTGGGAGGCCGAGGCAGGTGGATCGCCTGAGGTAAGGAGTTTGAGACCAGCCTGACCAATACGGCGAAACCTTGTCTCTACTAAAAATACAAAAATTAGCCGCGCGTGGCGGCGCATGTCCGTTGTCCCAGCTACTCGGGAGGCTGAGGCGAAAGTTCCAGTGAACCAAGATTGCGCCGCGCCATTGCACTCCAGCCTGGGGCACAGAGCAAGACTCTGTCTCAAAAAAATAAATAAATAAAATAAATAATTAAAAATAAGAAAAGAAAAAGAAAGATGGCCTATTTGTGGAACTTCTTCTAGGTACTGAATATTCATTCTAGCAATGCCAAACTTAGAATTTCAAAAGTGCTTTAAGTTCTCCTGCTTTTTAAGAAGTTAAGGCTAGCCTAGGAGATCCAGACTTCGTTTTTATGAATCAGGGACTGCAGCCAAATGTGTAATTTTCTCTGATAGAATGAGGCCCTGCAATTCAAGCCTATCTTTCAGGGGGAGTGTAGAAAGTGATGGGAGCCAACACTGTAACAGGAACCTGAACTGGTGGTGTTATTAGTTCGAATAGCTTTAACCATTGCTATCAATACATCTCACATCCTCAGACTGGTTCCAGTTGAGGCCATGGGATAAAATAACTCTTCACCAGTCTTTATATTCATAATCGTGATGTTTCATCTGCTACTTAAAATCTCCTTGGGAAAAGAGAGAGTAAAATAATAAAAAGACCAGCTAGCATCCATGAGCACAAAGACAACCAAACCAAAAAACAAAGTGATTTTCTTCATTAAAAGGCTCTGTGCACGCCGAAGCATTCTCAAAAACAGTTTATACCTTCTTCGTTTGTCTTCGCAAACTCCAATTTTCTGTATTTGACTTTTCCCTCTTAAAGCAACGCAAAGCAGCACACTGCGCAGGCGCCTGTGGCCAAGCGCCCCCGGGAGTATTCCGGCGCAGGCGCGGGGGCCGGGAAGTGGGCGGGCTCGCGCGCGTGCTCGGCGGTTCACTTCCGGCCAGCCCCTCCCCCGCCTCCCTCGCGTGGCCACCTCCCCCTCTGCCTTCTCCTACCCAGTCTCTTCCCCAACTCTCCCCACCCCTAGTGCTCTCCGCCCCGCTTGCCTCCTGTTCTTCCCCGCCCGCTCCATCCGGGTCGCTGACGGCTGTCTCTGGACTGGACAGCAGTGGCGTCCGCTTTTCTCTAAGGAACCCGGTAAAGTTTCACAGGGGCCGGGGAGGGGAGCAGCGGAGCAGCGGCACAGACGCCGGAGGTGCCCTGGTGATCACCGCCACTGGCTGACGGAGGAGGGTCCCAGGAGCCGGATACCTGCTTCAGCGACCGCGCTGCCTTGGTCTCTGGGGAAGGGCCGCCCCGCGTCACCTTGGGCTTCCCCTGCCCTGAAGGGCTGGGCGAGTTGTGGCCCCAGTGGGTTCGGGGGCGTGTGACGGCGTTAGGGAGGGGCAGGCCGGGCTGGGCGGATGCAGGCCGGCTCGGCACAGGGCGCTTTCTCAGCGCTTCCTAGGGGTGAGGGGCGTGGGGCGAGGGCAGGGTTGTGGCTCCCTGGCCCCGGGGCTGGAATGTCGCACCTCCCTGGGGATGGGCTTCTCTCAGGTTGAGGCCGCGGGCTGCCAAGCCTCGGCCGCCGGCCTCTGAGGCTGTTGCGAGCGGCCGGTTGCGGTAGTTGTCTGCTCGGCTGCGAGGTTGGGTGTGTGCAGATGATTTCTCTTTCCCGGTCCGCATGAGCTGATCTGGGTGCACGTTCAGGGAAAGACGGGACTAAACTGCTTCTCATTTCCCTACCTGTTGCTGGCGAGAGGACGCCTCTGTGCTTTAAAGAAAAGGGTGGTTAGACCTCGCGCGCTGAAGTCGGGGTATTTTCCTGTATTACTCTTATTTTGTTTTTTAAATATGGGAAGACAATGCAGAAGTCTTGGGAATTATAGAGTTCTGATGCCCCGAAAGAATGAAATCAAACTTGTTAGAGGATGATGGGTCGTGGAATGGGACACCTTGGGCACTTGCTAACAGGAACGTAGGAAAATTGAGGTTGAGACTTCGCAGGCTCTGTAGGAATGTGCATGACTACTACAGAATAAGGCTGACTTCCTGTAATTATGATATTTAGTAACGCGATGTGTTTAAAAATCTACGTATGTATAGATGAAGTGGACTCTGTTATTTGTGTCTTTACAAGTGAAGAAATACTCAATGTGCTGGAAAGTTCTACAGATTTCGCCATCAGACTATCAGTGCCCCAGCCCCCATTCCTATTCTTGAAAAATCAGCAGTGCTGGAGTTATTTGCAATTAACCCCCGCCAATCTTTAAATAATTGTCTCAGAAGTATAGATAGATATAGATTGCTCACGGGAGAGTTTTTTAGTCCCGGTTACCAATTGTAATAAAAGAGGTTGAATTTTGGAGAGAATTGATATTTAAACTGCATGAGTTTTTTTCTGTATTATAATTATGCAAATTGATTTAGTTTTAAAATTAGTGAGGTTGGAATGTTAGTATTTTGATTTGAAAAATGGGATCTTTGGAGGTGATTTGAGATTGTGGTTTGGTAAGAGAATCCTCATTTTCTCTCTGGCCTATTAAGAATAATTGGGAGAGTCGTTTAAATTGTGGAAAATTGCTTTAAATTTCCATTGTTGGTTTTATTTCTGTTACAGATAAGAACTTCCATTTTCTGTTGATGTGGAGGTAGGTATTAGAAGGCTTAATTATACTAGGATTTGAGGGAGATTGCAAGGTTATGTTTCTGCAGTTGGCTAAATTTTTCACTGTGTATATTTGCTTCTTGGGCAGTGAAAAGATGTCTTATTTCTTGCTCCCACTGAAATTATTTAAAGCAAAAAGTAGAAAAAATTGTGATTAATTTCATCAAGGTACTTACTCCCATTAGTTTAGTCTATCACAAGATAACCAGAAGTCAAAACTAGTTAATATGTTTTAAATTTTGCAAAGGATCGTAGAAAGTGACATATTTTCCCTAAAACTTTCTGTATGATACATTAAAAAAAATACAACTGATTGGTTTTTGAAACAATGATACTTATGTACCATGTTATAAAGTAAATTTAGTGTTTACCATGTAGCAATTATTGTAGCCTAGCACTTGAAAGAGCAATTATACGTCCTTTTTTCTTTGAAGTCATATTAACTTCTTTCTATTTCCTCAGACATAGGGTACCTCCAACTTTCCGGGGTTTCAGAAGAGAATTTTTTATTGAAACTGGAAGACCAAAATAATTACAAGCATGTTGTGCTGGGGCAATGCATCCTTTGGACAGCTAGGTTTGGGTGGAATTGATGAAGAAATTGTACTAGAGCCCAGAAAAAGTGACTTCTTTATAAATAAAAAGGTCCGAGATGTAGGATGTGGACTCAGACATACTGTATTTGTTCTGGATGATGGAACAGTGTACACTTGTGGATGTAATGATCTAGGACAGCTAGGTCATGAAAAATCCAGAAAGAAACCAGGTAAGTTGAAACGTTTTTAAAATTTGCTATTTCTAATAATTATATCATTTTAAATTTGAATCATCATATAATTTCTCTAGTTGTAATTATATGTTTATCAAACTTTAAAAGCAAAGTAGAAGTTATGTATTTCCATTATATTTGTATATTTGTATGGTTCTAAGTATTTTATGTTGTGGTTTCTTTTTTTTTTACGACTAGTATTATAAAACCTTATTTTGTATGACAATATAAAACAATAAAGAAAATCAGCCTGCCATATATAGGTCTTTGGTACAGAATGTGTAGTGGGCAGGCCCTCTTTAATAAATTCTGTTCAGGCACCGTGGATAGATTTTAAATGCATAATTTACTTTGTGTTTACCTTACCTTGGGAGTAGGGGAAGAAAACAAGACGAAAAGCTTTTTACTTTGACTTGCTTGCCTAAAATATGTTTTTATTCTTTTTATCCCTCTGTCATAGTATTTTAAACATGTAATTTTATTTGGTTTAGTTAGAAATATCTTTTATTCCTCTAATCTTTTACTTTCTGTAGCATTGCTAGCTATTCAAGATTTTGTGACTATGAAGTGTCCTATTTTGTAATAGTTGTACAAGCAAAATTAAATAATTTGTAGGGTAATGAGAATTTTGAGGAATTTGGTCACATTTCATGTTCTGTTTTCCTGGATATTGTATTTTAAAATCAAATATTTCTACATGTAGGAATATCATTGTTATGTGAGTTTTGCTTTCAATTATGATAACTAAAAGTTAATGATTTCAGGTGGTAAATTCAGATGAGACTGCAGCTATACTGACTTAAACAGTTTCTTTTAACTGTAACAATAATGGCACTTCAGTATTTTCTATGGCAGTTATTTTATCAGTTTATTATTTAAGTGGTTTCTGTTGTTACTCAACTTTTGAGAGATTAATGTAATCTGAGATATTCAGACATTAAATTAAAGCACGATTCATCCTTCACATCATCTCACGACCATGCCAAATCTCACTTTTCTGACTTGCAAATACTGTATTGTTTTCATCCTTTCTTTGTGGTTAAGGTCTTAGTGTATTTTCTTCTGCCTTAATTTGTAATTTATTTTTTATTGGATAAATGATAGTGACAGTCGTAAAATAGATTTTTAATTCTTGCAGAACTCAGTAAATGGCAGCTTTCTTGTACTCTACCTGTCTAAGAACGTTTTATGGATTCCTACCAGATTTTCAGAATCTCAGGCATTGAGGTGGTCATATTGATAGAAATGAATGGTAATTTACTGATATGCATTTGATGATTGTCTCTGCTCCGGAGACAAATGGGCCCTTTTCTATTTTTGCTTAACTTGGAATGCTGCCTCAGGTTGAGATTTTCATGGTACCGAGGCTGCTGCTGTTCTTTGTACTTTAGCATGCCCCATAGAAATAACTGAACATCTCTCTGTATTACTTTAATAATTTCTGAAAGGCTGTAAAGCAAGTAGAAAGTAGAAAGCCAGCACATAGGAATTGCCAGTATAGTTACTTATGTCTACTGAGGTTTAAAATGTTTAAGTGTTAGAGGTAGATACTGTGTACTAATAGTATAATGATTATAGTGCCAGGAACGGCTTCCAACTATATAGATGAAATTCTGAGAAACTTAACTAGCTAGAATAGGCTTCTTTGTGGTCAAGTTGACATTGTGATGATTGCATTGTGACATCTATATCATCTTGATTCAACCTGGAAACATTTGGTAACGTAAAGTTGGGGTGGTGAGTTTCCCTAATTTGGGATACCTCTTTAGGATTGCCTCATTGTTGTCCCGATTACACCACAGTCTATGGAAGAGAAAAGTGACAGGCATTAACTTTGTCTTTGAGAAATTTAGAGTCTGGGTTGGGAGTTAAGGTGTACATGAACAACTGGAGAGAATTAAAATTAGACATGATATGCTATGTACTTTGAGCCTAAGAAATTTAAATGATGGGAAATATTATGGGATAGAATTAAATTAAGATTTCTGGGAGAAAATGAAGGCTTACATTTAATTCTATTGGTGATCACATAAACAGCTAGGAAATAAGTCTGGAGCTGAAATAGCTTAGTTTTGTAGAGGGAGAGTGATGCTGATCCTGAGAAAAGCTTTTTATTATCAGAAGTTCTGGTTCAGTGATACATTGAAGTGAACCTAGGTTTCAGAGGGAAGAGAAGGAACTTCAAAAAGTAGTAGTTGCTCTCATAGGAACTTCACCTTTTAATCTCAGCCTTGATTGAAGATTTTTTTTTTTTTTTTTTTGAGACAGAGTTTCGCTCTTGTTGCCCAGGCTGGAGTGCAATGGCGCCGTCTTGGCTCACAGCTACCTCCGCCTCCCAGGTTCAAGCAATTCTCCTGCTTCAGCCTCCCAAGTAGCTGGGATTACAGGCGCCCACCACCATGCCTGGCTACTTTTCGTATTTTTAGTAGAGATGGGGTTTTACCATGTTGGCCAGGCTAGTCTTGAACTCCTGACCTCAGGTGATCCGCCTGCCTTGGCCTCCCAAAGAGCTGAATTACAAGCATGAGCCACCGCTCCTGGGCTAAGATGTTTTTTAAATAATGTTTTTCACTAAATTTTAAGAATTTTTTAACTAAAGTTATTTATATTTGGAATAATTCGTTAATGATTTAAATGTGTCATTTCCCCAACCCCTTTTTAAATTTGTAAATTTGAGGACTGGATTAAAAGATAAAAAGTTGTTGGATCTTATTTATTTTAAAGTCTTCTGGTAATTGAGCAAGTTGGTTGTATTTCTGGGACCATGTAATAAACATAGTTCACTTCACAAGAGGTTTTTTGTTTGTTTGTTTTGTTTTGTTTTGTTTTGAGACAGAGTCTCACTCTGTTGCCCAGGCTGGAATGTAGTGGCATGATCTCTGCTCACTGCAACCTCTGCTTCCCAGGTTCAAGCGATTATCCTGCCTCAGCCTCCCGAGTTGCTGGGACTATAGGCACGTGCCACCATGCCCGGGTAATTTTTTGTATTTTTAGTAGGGACGGGGTTTCACCGTGTTAGCCAGGATGGTCTCGATATCCTGACCTCGTGATCTGCCCGCCTTGGCCTCCCAGAGTGCTGGGATTACAGGCGTGAGCCACCATGCCCAGCCGACTTCCCAAGAGCTTTAAACTTATGTCAGAAGGCAGATAGAATGGACGGAACTAAGAATTGTTTCTTTATGTAGATTGGCTTTATAAATATACATATTCCATAACTAATAAGGAATAAAAGAGAAAGAGGTAGCCTTATTAAGGATAAATTATTCTTGAGATTCATAATAACCTACTGGAGGAGTTGGCCTGACAATGTAATAAATAGATTTAACCTGTGGCCTATTGAAAAGCGGTGTTTCTGTTCTGGACTTTTTAGGAACCACATAGAAAGATTTAACTGAATTCCTTTATTATACTAAAGGTGCAGATTATGTTTATTTTCATCTGTATTGTCTTGTATATGTATGTCCTTTTCTATCACTACTAGCTTTTTCTGAATTATTTCCAGAGAAGTGAATGTCTGTTTCACTTTCATGTTTTTTTTCTTCATAAGAACTTTAAAATACTTTTAAGTTAATGTATCAATTTTTTAATTTATAGCTAACAAATACATTTATTTAATCTTCAGTGTGCTAAACCAGTCCATTTAAATGAATTGGTTTTTTTAGACTTTCAAATTCAGTTCTGAAGATTTTAAGTATGGGAAGTATACTTTTCTTTAAAAGATCCTTTTCTTACTGTATATCTAATCATAGGTATAATTTGGTGACCATGGTCCTAACTATATGTTTTGCACATTGATTTCCATTTGTTTCATGTTAGAAACAATATTAAACTGTTTTGTGACCATAATTTATAAATAAAGTGGTGTTCTGTTTAAAAACAAGCCCTGTTATCTAAAAAATAGTTTTTTGTGTTTTATAACATTCTTTCAAATGGAGTGTTTCATTTAATTCTCACAACAGTTGTATGTAGCTAAGGCAGGTATCATGGTCCCTATTTTACAGATGAGGACACTGAGGTTAAAAGAGATTAAGAGACTAATAGGGTCACTTGGCTAGCACATCTTGAGACCACCCTAAATCTTGTGATTTTTATCCTAAATCTTGTGATTTTTATCCTTAATCTTACAAATCTTTTCCTTTGCTATATTTAGAAGGTAGAAGAATATTTGTTCACCTTTGAGAAAGGTGGTTTCCATCAGTGTTTTATTGTAATTCCAAGGGATTTTTTATTTTTTATTTTTATTTTTTTGAGATGGGATCTTGTTCTGTTGCTCAAGCAACAGTTGCTCATTGCAGTGGTATGATAATAGCTCACTGTAGCCTTGGACTCCTGGGCTCAAGTGATCCTCCTACCTCAGCTTCCCTGGTATTTGGGACTACATTTATGTGCCACCATGCCTGCTTAATTTTTTTTTTTTTTGAGACAGAGTCTTGCTCTGTCACCCAGGGTGGAGTTCAGTGGTGTGATTTCTGCTCACTACAGCCTCCACATCTTGGGTTCAAGTGATTCTCCTGTCTCAGCCTCCCGAGTAGCTGGGACTACAGGTGTGTGCCGCCACACCCGGCTAATTTTTTTATATTTTTAGTAGAGGCAGGGTTTCACCATGTTGGCCAGGGTGGTCTTGAACTCCTGACCTCAGGTGATCTGCCCACCTCGGCCTCCCAAAGTGCTGGGATTACAGGCGTGAGCCACCAGGCCTGGCCAATTTTTTTAGTTTGTTAGAGATGGGGGTCTTCGTATGTTGCCCAGTCTGGTCTCAAACGCCAGTCCTCAAGCTATCCTCCTGCCCTGGCTTCCCCAAATTGCTGAGATTTATAGGGATGAGATACTGTGGCAGCCAAGAAAAATCTTTTAAAAATTACTATCTTGTAACTAAGGTTATATAATGAAGACAGCATATTTTATTATCATCCCCCTTGTGCATAAACTCAAAAATCATTTTAAAAACTGATGAGAAGATTGAGAGTTCTATTTTCAAAATGTAATATTGTACCAACACAAACAAAAATTCAAATATGTATAGTGTATCACTGAATGGAAGACTAACTTGATTAGCAGAGTTTATAGGTAATAGTTTTAATAGTATGATAAAATTTATTGTGGTTTATGTTGAACTTTTTTTAAAGATCATGAGCATTGATTCTATGTTTTCCATATCCTCGAATGGTAATTTCTACTGTTGAGTCATTCCAATAAAAGCATTTTGGTCACATAGTAGTGATTACTTGGTTTGCCTTTCTTGCTTCTTCGTTTTTCTGACCTGTCCTCTCTCTGTTCATAAAACAAATCTATAAAATATAGTTGAAATTTAAAAAGTAATATAGGAAAATATAACTATGGGAAATAAAGTTACTCACTTAAGGGTGGGTTAAAAATAAAAATACCAGATTATCCCACACATTTCTTACTGAACCAGAGCATTTAAACCAAAGAAGCTCATTGTGTTTTATAACTCCCGGTTTTCACAATACCTTCTAAGGAAGAGAAAGATGTGGATGATAGATTTGAAAAAAGTAATTACTTGGGTCAGGAGTGGAGGCTTGCTTTGAACACTTTACTTTGAGAAAGGTTAGTGCCCAAGAATCACAGTGTCAAGGGTAGGAAAAAAAAATCATAATGCAAACAGATGACTACTGTTAGAGAAATGTATAATAATACTTTACTTTGTGTAGGACCCTACATCTGAGGAATTTCAAGAGCATTACACAATAACTCATGGTTCCTTTCAAAATGCTTGTGACACAATTTGCAAGGATTATCCTCATCTTAGGGGATAAATTTACGGAGAAATGGCAGCACAAGTTGGTAAGTAACTTGTCAAAATAGGTGACTGGTGAACAGCTATAAGTTGAATTTGAAAGTTGGAGTCTACCAGTCTCCTACCTTATTCACTAAATTGTGCTTATGTTTAGAATTATTTATAGTAATATCTTCTGTTTGAGGCAGATCAAATACTAGTGCACAGATTGTTTCCCTACCATTCTATTTGATGGCCTGTTAAATCATTATTTTACCAAGATGCTTACATTCTGATGCCACTTTGATACTTCATTATAACTCTGTGGTATGAAGAATATTTACACAAATGAACAGAAACTTAACTATGGTAATACCCTGTCTTTCCTGTTTTCTATTATATATTGTATACATCCCCTTGTCTAACTGCTATGTTGTACTACAATCCAAGGTCCATAGTAACTGACTTGCAGAATTGATTTGGTGGCTAACCTTGGAACTTGGATTAGTTATGTTGTATAAAGTCCACTATGTAAATACATGCATCTCTCTCTAAGATGCATTGGTTTGGTGGATGCTTTATAAAACTCTTAAAACCTACACAGAAGACAAAAATAGCAGTAGATGCCTAATCTGAGCAGTCTAACAAAGGGAAGCTTCTTTAAAGGACTTGGAACCAGTGATTTTCTCTTGGGTATGTTAATGTTTTTACATGATTAGAAGTGAGCCACATACTTTCCTTAAAAGATTTAGCAGTGCGGTAGATTTTGGTTTCACAATTTGGGTAGTTAGCGATTCTTGTTGCAAATGGCAGTCTAGGGAGTCTAGTTTCCATTATCTCCTTAGTAAGGACTCTTAGGGTTCCATGTTCCCAATAGATCATACAAATGTAGCACTGTTTTTCAAGCTCATTTCTCACAAAGGCATGCATTTTTAAAACTGCTTTGAAGAAATAAAAGTTACTTCTGTATTCCTAGACTATAAAGTATATCAAGTGCTTGGGATACATATGAAAGAATCGAATAGAAGTGGCATACTCAAATGTTTATATAAAAGTTTATTTGGGCTTGGATAATATTAGTAAAAAAATGGGTAACACTAATGAGGAAACTATATTAATGAGCTCATGGTTGAACTTCCTGTTCCCCTGGATTTTTTTTTTTCATATTGATGGAATTTAAAAGGCAGTTATTTTAAATCGTAATAAATTATGATGGTTACCTTATATGTGAGAAAAACCTATGCTGTGTGTAATTATACATTTTATTGGAGTTTTGTTTTTTTAGACAGGATCTTGCTGTCACTGGAGTACAGTAGTTAAATTGTGGCTCACTGTAGCCTCAACTTCCCTGCGTTCAGGAATCCTCTTACCTCAGCCTGCTGAGTAGCTGGGACCATATGTGCATGCCACCAGGCCCAGCATGTTTTTGTATTTTTTGTAGAGACAGGGTTCCACTCTTTTGCCCAGGCTGGTCTCGAAGTGATCATCCCACCTCAGACTCCCAAAGTGTTGGGATTATAGGCATGAACCACCACGTCAGGCCTTATTAGAGTTGTTTTTTTTTTTTAAGGGAAATTTCTTGCATTTCGATGGCTTATTCCTTAAACCGTAATGTTTTATTTGCCTAGATTTACTCTTTTGTGTTCATTTCTAGCATGGCAGAATTTTGGTTTAGCCTTTCTTGGCCATAAGACATTCTAGAATCCTTTAGTAATGGGCTTTTCACAAATTATTTGAAAATATCTTAATTACTTTTTTATTCATATCTAAGATTCGCCTCATTTTATTCCTTTGCTAGGTGTTATACTATTCTGAAATAACACATTTTTAGTATTACAAGTTCTTGGTAGAGAATTTCTAACACATAGGAAAGTAAAAACTATAATGCCATCATGCATAGGTAAATAGTATTATCACATGAGACCTTTTCTGTATTCATATATGTTTCTGATTAAAAACTGGGAGTGTGTTCTTGTATCTCAACTTTTTTCTCCTGATAATAATTTAGTATTTTCCCATGTTTTAAAATTTTAGGAATATTGGGAATATTTAGGAATATAATTAACATTTTATCTTTTAGATGTACCAAAATTTATTTAAGTATTCTATTTTTTGGATTTTTTTTTTTTTTTTTTTTTTTTGAGATGGAGTCTTGCTCTGTTTCCCAAGCTGGAGTGCATGGCGCGAACTCCACTCACCGCAGCCTCTGCCTCCTGGGTTCAAGTGATTCTCCTGTCTCAGCCTCCTGCGTAGCTGGGATTACAGATGCGTGCCACCACTCCTAGCTAATTTTTTGTATTTTTAGTAGAGACAGGGTTTCACCATATTGGCCAGGGTGGTCTCCAACTCCTGACCTCGTGATCCACCTGCCTCAGCCTCCCAAAGTGCTGGGATTACAGGCGTGAGCCACCGTGCCCAGCCTATTTTTTAGAATTTACTTCCAGATTTTTGTTATAAGTTAATACTGCAATGAACATATATATCAATTCAGTCTTTATTTCTTTTTCTTTCTCCCTCTCTCTCTCTCTCTTTTTTTTTTAGACAGAATCTTACTCTGTTGCCTGTTGCCTAGGCTGGAGTGCCTGTTGCCATCTTGGCTCACTGCAACCTCCGCCTCCCAGGTTCAAATGATTCTCCTGCCTCAGCCTCCCGAGTAGCTGAGATCGCAGGCATGCGGGCACCACACTTGGCTAATTTTTTGTATTTTTAGTAGAGATTGGGTTTCACCATGATGGCCAGGCTGGTCTTGAACTCCTGACCTCAGGTAATCCACCTGCCATGACATCCCAAATTGCTGGGATTACAGGCCTGAGCCATGGTGCCCGCCTATTTCTTTCTTTTAATTATTTTTTATTTTGGGGGGACAGGATTGTGCTCTGTTGCCCAGGCTGGAGTGCAGTGGCATGATCTCGGCTCATGGCAACCTCCGTCTCCTGGGCTCAAGCGATTCTCCTGCCTCAGCCTCCAGAGCAGCTAGGATTACAGGCATGTGCCACCATGCCCAGCTAATTTTTGTATTTTTAGTAGAGGTGGGATTTTGCCATGTTGACCAGGCTGGTCTAGAACTCCTGGCCTCAACTGATCTGCCCACTTTGCCCTCCCAAAATGCTGGGATTACAGGCATGAGCTACCACTCTGTTTCTTTATTATTATTTGAGATAGAGTTTCGCTCTTGTTGCCCAGGCTAAAGTGCAATGGTGCAATCTTGGCTCACTGCAGCCTCCGCCTCTCAGGTTCAAGTGACTCTCTTGCCTTGACCTCCTGAGTAGCTGGGATTACAGATGCCCGCCAACATGCCCTGCTAATTTTTTGTAATTTTAGTAGAGACGGAGTTTTGCCATGTTGGCCAGGCTGGTCTCGAACTCCTGGCCTCAGTTAATCCGCCCGCCTCGGCCTCCAAAGTGCTGGGCTTACAGGCGTGAGCCACCACGCCCGACCTACCTCTGTTTATTTCTTTAGGAAAAAGAACATCTTTAAGGAAAGAGAACTGAATTTATTGTTTAAGCACAGTTGTGTCTCATTTTACGAAGTTTATATACTCATATTTGTAAATGAAAGTTTTTAAAATGTATGACAAGGCCGAGCGCGGTGGCTTACGCCTGTAAACACAGCACTTTGGGAGGCCGAGGCAAGCGGATCACGAGGTCAGGAGTTCAAGACCAGCCTGGCCAACATAGTGAAGCACCGTCGCTATTAAAAAAATAGAAAAATTAGCTGGGCATAGTGGTGTGCCTGTAGTCTGAGCTACTCAGGTCGCTGAGGCAGGAGAGTTGCTTGAACCCAGGAGGCAGAGGTTGCAGTGAGCCGAGATCTGCACTCTAGCCTGGGTAACAGAGCGAGACTCCATCTAAAAATAATAATAATAATAATAAAGGTAAATAAATAAATAATTACAATTACAATATTACGACCTAATAGGGAATAGAAAACAAATGCACAAATAATAGAAATGCAATTAAAATATGCCAAGTGTTATAGGATGTATAAACAACAGTGCCGTGTAGAGATAGTATACTATCAGATAGCAACAGGCAAGTTTGAGGCTGGGGGAAGAGTAGTCCATGTAACAGATGTCTGAGAATAGTGAGCAGGAAGGTTAGAAAGGCAAAATTGAGGTCAGATTATAGAAATAAATTCAAGAGCTTGAATTTAATTTGGTGAATATCCACTGATAGATTGTAATGGGAATTACAATGGATTTATAAAGGAAAGGTTGAAAGGGAGAGAAATTGGAGGTAAAGAAATAGGCTGTAATGGTAGTCCTTTAAAGCAAGAAAGGAGCAGGTAGATAATGGAGAGACTTAGGGAGGCAGAAAGAATGGACAGACTTTGATAACCAGATGGAAATAAATAATAAACATAAAGGGAAGAGCCACGTATGATCCTAAGTGGAATCATTAGCTGATAGAAATAAGGAATCCAGGAAGAGAAGAAATATTCTCTTTTATTTTAAGAGGCAAGTTAAAAGATTCTGGTAAGGCGAATTTTGTGGTAAACAAAGTAAGAAATTTAGTACTGTAAGTGGGGGCTAAATGCGTGAAGTGTTTATTTTTGATTTTGTTTTATTTTCAGTTCAGATAGGCTGACATTCCAACTGTAGACTTCTCCCCAGTTCTAACCTGTTAAGTAATTAATAATTCGTTAACAATACTTCGTACTTTCAGAAGACTGCTTAAGGCACGTGGTGATACAATACCATTGTAAATTTAAAGTGACCTAAATGGTTGCCTCCTCCGTCTGTTTTGTAAACCTGAATTTCTATATACAGGGGTTTTTTTTTTTTTTTTTTTTTTTTTTGAGATGGAGTATTGCTCTGTCACCCAGGCTGGAGTGAGTGGCACCATCTCTGCTCATTGCAACCTCCACCTCCCAGGTTCAAGCGATTCTCCTGCTTCAGCCTTTCAAGTAGCTGGGATTACAGGCATCCGCCACCGTGCCCGGCTAATTTTTTTTTTTTGTATTTTTAGTAGAAACGGGGTTTCACCATATTGGTCAGGTTGGTCTGGAACTCCTGACCTGAAGTTACCTGCCCGCCTCGGCCTCCCAAAGTGGTAGGATTACAGGCGTG